TCCTTTCTTTTAGGAATAGATTCAAAACTGAAGGGCCGCATTTGGGCAAATAAGTATATTGATCTCGCATCATTGTTAGCTGAAGAGACGGAAAGCAACGACTCTTTCAGATTAGTGGAGAGTACAAATGGCACGGTCACTCTGCAAAAAATGCCTCAAAACAAACGCATAATCTCGCTGAACCAATGGAATACCGCTTTTCATAAATATATATCGATACTGACAGAAAGCCAACCCTTGTTGATACCATCCCTCATGCAATATATGGAGCATATTCGACGTTTAGCCCAGAGAGCTGGGGACCAGGCAGTCTTTTATTATGACAGAACATTCCGTAAACTTCGCCAGTGTGAGCCATCTTTGAGTTTTGCGGAACTTCATGCCAGCACATACACTGAATCTATTTGTATGGGATTGAGTGATCGTCTATCAACACGGCCCTTTCGTTCCACCAAGCAAACTACTGCATCTTCCAAACCTTGCTTTAACTACAACAACAAAGGCACCTGTTCAAGACAACAATGCAATTACCAGCATGCCTGCCAAAAGTGTTTCGGGCCACATCCTAAAAAAGTATGCCCCCTGCCCAAGAATGATACCGCCTCAAAACCAAGTCATTCAATCAAAACAGTCATCTCTAAAAAGTGATTCCTACTCCTGGACTATATCAAATTTTTCAATGGCTCCGATTACCCCAATTAAAGTAGATAAACTTGCATATTGGTTAACTGGCTATGATAAAAGCGAAACAACATTTTTATTGGATGGTTTTACACATGGCTTCACCATTCCCTTTAATGGTTCTCGTTCAATTGTCCTGTGATGTACATAATATGTTTTTATACATGTCTCAGGGTTCACTTTTATATTTTATGTTGCAACATATTTTCGTAGTTTTTTGTTGGCGGATATTGCAAACTAGGTTTGCAACATGTGGCGTTTTGATGGTTAACCAACATTTGATTTCTCTTACCATACATGCATAATAGTTGATATTTTTTGCATTGTTGCATAATTGTATTTCTAACAATTGCATTCATTTGAAATGTTATGTTGTTTTAAATTTGTATGTTTTACTATTATGCATTGTTCACATTTAGTCATTTAAATAGCATTAAATGACAATTTCACTATATTGTGTCTTTGTTTTTATCTGAAATCAAACTGAGAAAAACTTCGAAAACAAACAACCGACATACATAAAATATGTTATTGTTTCACAACAAAAGCTGCATGTTTCGTATTGAAACTTACCAGGTTTGCACATATATTATCATATCTCTTTGACAATTTTCTCCAACTTTTCCAATATTTTGTAAATTAATGCTCATTAGGGCCAAATGATTGTAAATTTGTGATTTATTTTTTCTTGTTCCTTTACAATTTTTGTTTTAATTTATCAGTATGCATTGTTTTATAACTAAACCATATAAGCAGACATAAGGAAAAATGGTTCCTTGTGTCAAAAAAAATACATGTATGACTCTTTTGATCTTTTTGAAGGTTTCTTATTGTGTTTTTTAAGGATTGTAAGCTATATGTGAAGAAGTCTGGAAGTAAGGTTAATCAGGGCTGGGAATCAAAACTGCGTCGTATCCTACAAAATGTAAACAAACGCCGCCATTTTGGAGCGAAAAATGTATGTTTTTGTTTATAACTCTTTTTGTTGGAAATGACTGAAAACAAGATATATGTATTGACACGCTACACTAATTTCCGCTTCGTTCGGTATATGTTGCTTGCACAACTATTTTGTAAAACAAAAGTTATAGCGAACTTGCAACTCGAAGCGAGGCAGAATTTTTATGAAAATGTGTGGATACAACGCAGTTCATATTGCTTTATCTATCGTTTTGCCTTCAAATCAATTATCTACTCGTTTTCAGAGTTCACCATAAACGTCAAAACATAATTTTGCATCATTTACTTAACTTTCATTTAAAAGAGATGATTATTTCCAAGAAAATAATGATTTTTACGAAATGATACGACGCAGTTGAAAAGAAAATATGATACGACGCAGTTGTATTTTCATTGCAGGCTGAAAATGGGTTAAACTATTTAAATTATGTGCTAGGTATGCCAATAACGTCCTACAACATTTCTTGTTTACAACTTAAGTCAAAAGCAGAGGTCTCTCATTGGTTTCATTAAAATGGAAATGTAATACAATTCTATTAAGGCTGCATTTTTCGGTCGCATTTTAGTACTAATCATAAGCATCTACAAATTCCGAAAAGCTGTATCAAATGCAATATACATTGAAACACGTGATCGCACATCCATATGACAACGTGTTCTACTGTTGCCTTAGCATGCTTATAAACTTGTTCACTTGAGTTCGAAATGGGAGTGATTACTATTTTTGATACAAAATTCAATATTCCAGTGTAACCACCACTGGACCCTGTATTAATCAGGAATGACTTTTTTCTTAAAAAAAAAAGAGAAAAAATTACAAATTTTGAAAAAATATTGTATTCATTTTCTTAATAATCGACAAGGACAGATGAGCTTTATTATTTGAAACTGAACATTAATTTTTTTAAATTATATTTTAAATGGTTAAGCTACAATATATTTTTGCAAGTAGGTTATGCGTTCCGTTTAGTCATTATATGTTCAGCGCCGCGGAACTTTACCCCTGCGTTTCTTTATCGCCGATGAGGAAAGGTCTACGGAATGTATTTTTTCTATATTTGCACTTAAGTATCATTCTTCTCCATCAAAAAACTTTTCAAAATCGAGTTACATATGATACAACTACAAATTATTTTGTAAACAAGATTGCATTTGAGAAAAATGCTATGCCACCGCATTAATACAACACTAAGCCTTGTACCTTCAGACAATAAGATTTTTTGATTTTTTTACTATATATATATATTGAAAATCAATGACCCCTGGGGCAAAGGCAATTTTGACCCCAGGGCTATAATTTAAACAATCTTGCTAGAAGTTCACTACATAATGTTTCATGCAAAATATTTAACCTCTAGCATTTGTCAATTACTAGAAGAATTTTTTAAAAGTTTTTACTACATGTATAAGTTTTTACTATATACATATAAGGAAAACCAATGACCCCTGGGGCCGATTCTGATCCCAGGGCTATAATTTGAATAATCTGGGTAGAGGTCTACCATACAATGCCTTATGCAAAAATATCTAAGCTCTAGGCCTTTTGGGTCTTTACAAGAAGGTATTTTAAGTTTTTGCTATATGTACATATAGTGAAAATCAATGACCCCCGGGGCGGGCCGATTTTGACCCCAGGTCTATAATTTGAACAATCTTGGTAAGGGTCTACCAGACAATGCCTTATGCAAAATATCTAAGCTCTAGGCCTTTTGGGTCTTTACAAGAAGGTATTTTAAGGTTTTGCTATATGTACATATAGTGAAAATCAATGACCCCCGGGGCGGGACCGATTTTGACCCCAGGGCTATAATTTGAACAATCTTGGTAGAGGTCTACCAGACAATGCCTTATGCAAAATATCTAAGCTCTAGGCCTTTTTTAAATTTATTCTTATAATTCCTTTTGGTTACCATGGCAACCAGATTTCTGCATGGAATGAAATTCTTTGAACAACTTTGGAAGCCCTTCACCCAAGGATCAATCCTGCCAAGTTTGGTTGAAATTGGACTAGTGGTTTTTCACAAGAAGATTTTTTAAGTTCACTATATAATCTATATAACACACACACACACACACACAAACAAACACACAGGTGAATCGCTATATGCCACCGCATCGCAGATGCTGCGGTGGCATAAAAAAGGTGTCCGTTTTGCAAAGGTATTTTACGCTATGCACCGATAAATTTGATACAGATATAGGCAGACATGATCTTTCAACAGTATTGAAGAATTATTAAGTTTTCACAATATTGAACAGAAAATGTCAGATTATCGTATCGAATTTTTAACTGACTAGAGACATGACATCTTAACATACCTTCATACTAAAGTGTGATTTTTATTTGATAATGAATTGCCTGAAAACTTAAACAAATGTTTTCAGAAAATGACTTCACAGAGGATTACCCCCTATCAAGCTAGTTTCAAAATGTTGACGGTTCTCTGCAGGTACAACATTTTGCCTGAAATAATGCACAAAGGCGCACCTGAGGTCCTCGCCCCTAGTAAAGCGAATGTGTAGAGTGAAAGTTTGAAAAGAAACCACAAAAAAGCAGTCATTACCCAGAACATGCAGAACCACAGTTAACTTAGAGCTTAGCTAGCCAAAATGAATTTAAGTTAATAGATTTCTACATTTTTTTTTGCGAAAAAAATTAGGGATAATATTGAACATACAGGAAAATATAAGAAATTATTTCAGATATTATGATCAATAAGGTAACATGTTCATGTTTAACTAAAAAGTAGCTTCCGCAATGTCAACTTTCAAATTAAATGTTATATTGGACATGACACATTGTATTCTAAATAACCATCAGAACATTGCTTTACACCGCAAATGATCTGGGTTTTTATCTAGCGCAAGTGATTATTCCATAAAATAGAAAAATATTGCCAAAATTATCCCTGTTGAAAAGACTGCCAAAAATACAACTGCGTCGTATCATATTTTATTTTCAACTGCGTCGTATCATTTCGTAAAAATCATTATTTTCTTAGAAAATAAACATCCCTTTTTAATAAAATTTTGGTAAATGATGAAAAATTATATTTCGAAGTTTATGGTGAACTCTGAAACAAATATATAATTGATTTGAAGGAAAAAACGATAGATAAAGCAATATGAACTGCGTCGTATCCACACATTTTCATAAAAATTCTGCCTCGCTTCGAGTTGCAAGTTCGCTATAACTTTTGTTTTACAAAATAGTTGTGCAAGCAACATTATACCGAACGAAGCGGAAAATAGAGTAGCGTGTTAATACATATATCTTGTTTTCAGTCATTTCCAACAAAAAGAGTTATAAACAAAAACATATGTTTTTCGTTCCAAGATGGCGGCATTTGTTTACATTTTGTAGGATACGACGCAGTTTTGATTCCCAGCCCTGGTTAATGTAGTACAGGATACTAGAAAAATTAACTGTCCAGCTCAAATCATTGGCCAAGAAAACTGTCGATTTCCAATTTATCAGGTACTGCTTACAAAATGTAGCTAGGTGTTTAAATGGATCAAAATGAGGTCTGTTTCCTTTTAAAAGCACATCTAAGACATTTTTGCTTCTTTAGAAATGAGTTTATAATGTTTAAGTAATGGTTTTACAGCATGTTTAGCAATATAACCTTATTATATAGTTTTGAGCCTTTGAACCTCATTTGAGTTCCTTTAATAAATTTATTCTGCAACAACGAATTCCATGTGAGGTTTATAATGTCCTATTATTAATAGGAAATGTCCTATTATTAATAGATTCCTTAAGTTCTGCATTAAAGTTTAGCTTAGTAAATTTGTATTAAAAACAAGTAATATATAGCAGGATATTTATATGTTGCTTAAATAAAGCATTATGATTATTGTGATAGTGGAGGTATTTGTACTGTGATTGAAAAAAAATCTCTATTATTTTTAAAATCTTCGGTATTTTCTCCCACAGATTGCACTTGATGCCTCCAATTTTGAATTGTCATGCAAAGCAGAAGACCTGTTGGCAAGAATCCACAACAGGGAGGAGATACCTCATGATAGAGTAACAACAAGGAGGAGATACCTCATGAGAGAGTTAAACAACATGGAGATACCTCATGAGAGAGTACCAACAGAGAGGAGTTACCTCATGAGAGAGTAACAACAAGGAGATGATACCTCATGAGAGAGTAACACCAAGGAGGAGATACCTCATGAGAGAGTACCAACAGGCAAGAGATACCTCATGAAAGAGTAACAACAAGGAGGAGATACCTCATGAGAGAGTTAAACAACAAGGAGATACCTCATGAGAGAGTACCAACAAGGAGGAGATACCTCATGAGAGAGTTAAACAACAAGGAGATACCTCATGAGAGAGTAACAACAAGGAGGAGATACCAACAAGGAGGAGATACCTCATGAGAGAGTACCAACAGGGAGGAGATACCTCAGAGAGTACCAACAAGGAGGAGATACCTAATGAGAGAGTACCAACAGGGAGGAGATACCTCATGAGAGTTACAACAAGGAGGAGATACCTCATGAGAGAGTAACAACAAGGAGGATATACCTCATGAGAGAGTACCAACAGGGAGGAGATACCTCATGAAAGAGTGACAACAAGGAGGAGATACCTCATGAGAGAGTTACAACAAGGGGGAGATACCTCATGAGAGAGAAACAACAAGGAGATACCTCATGAGAGAGTACCAACAGGGAGGAGATACCTCATGAAAGAGTAACAACAAGGAGGAGATACCTCATGAGAGAGTAACAACAAGGGGGAGATACCTCATGAGAGAGAAACAACAAGGAGATACCTCATGAGAGAGTACCAACAGGGAGGAGATACCTCATGAGAGAGTAACAACAAGGAGGACATACCTCATGAGAGAGAAACAAAAAGGAGATACCTCATGAGAGAGTACCAACAGGGAGGAGATACCTCATGAGAGAGTAACAACAAGGAGGAGATACCTCATGAAAAGAGTTACAACAAGGAGGAGATACCTGTGTTGTTTTTATAAGCATATTGCCAGTAAAGTAAAAAGTTCTTGTTAATCTTTTTTAATATATTTTTTGTAAGTTTTATAAAAGTACTCATTATAAACTTAACACTTTTTTTTAAACCACTGTGTAAAAATGTAGCTGTTCTGTTGTAAATATTATTGTTTCTATTTTTTTATTTGTATTCTATAATGTTCTTTTTTTCTTGTTTGGAACATCCTTTTTGTTTGTTTTACACTCTTTTTAACCATTGTGCAAAAAATGTAGCAGTTTTGTTGTTATGTAATAGATAATATTTTTTTTTCTATTTCTTTTTTTTTTTCCCCCTACAATGCCCTTTTTTCTAGTTTGGAGCATCCTTTTTGTTTGCTTATATGTCTGGTGAACAGAAGAGGCTCATGCAGCTGTATGGACGCTTTGCATTTCTGGATGCCACATATAAAACTTCATTATATGATCTAACATTGTTTTTTCTGGCTGTAAGAACAAATTGAGGTTATCAAATTGCTGCAACATTTATTACAGAAGGAGAAACAGTTGTTGCCATTACTGAAGCTCTCTAGATACTGCATGCTCATGAATTTCCTTGGGAACCAGCATATTTTATGACTGACTATCAAGAAAGTGAAATACTTGCAATATGAAACTTCAATTTCTTGTTCCCTGTGTTCTGTGTGAAATGTGGAAATTGATAATCGTTAGTTTAGTTTATACTAATTTATCTTAGTTTGATTGTGTAATAAGCTATAAGCTTAATGAAACACTTTTTCTTAAATATATAACTCATGGTAGAATGCACCACTATAATTATTATCCAGATTTGATTCTAAGATATCACATCTTATCATGTCCTACATGATTTTGGAACATTATATATTGTCAATGGATTACGACAGTGTAGTATTTGTGATTTCAGTCAGGTACCAGACCACCCATAGTACTTAAAGTTTCCAGTTTTGGATCACGTCACTTCTATATCCATTCACTCTTTCAGTGGCAACGCTTAGGAAGTAGTAATGTGGAACCAAGGAGTTTTCAAATTGCAACTTTGGTTTGAATGTTGTAGTGACAGTCCAGTGTGCAGCAATCCAATGGATTCCTTGAGATCGGATTCTTCTTGTGACAGACTTATCTTGTTTTCGGTGGCATGTAACTAATACACCTAGGTACCTTGGGGATACTGCAGCAATAGTAGCAGAGGTACTATCAGACGTCACTGATTCTTTTTCAAGTAAGGCCAGATTCTATATGAAAGTTTATCACTAAGTCAACAGACATGGATAAAACAATCACTATAGGGGTAAGTTTATATATTCAAAAAAGTTGTTTATGATGTTTATTTCATGAAATATGAAGTTAACAAAGGGAGTCAAAAGAAAGAGGAAAAGGAATCTATTATAAAATATGAAAGTTAAAATATGTTTTGAAAATGTATAATTTTGAAATTAAACTATAAATATATATTTGTCTCATTATTACCTGTTTATTTGAAGAACATGTCTTAAGTATAAAATTTATATCATTAAATTTGTTATTGTTTTAAAAAGCATATTGCCAGTAAAGTAAAAGGCTTTTTAGAGATCGGAGTTAAAATCTCAGCAGGAATGTACTTTCACTGGCAAAATGCAGCTTTATTTTAAATGGACTAGAATAATGTCTATATTTTATGAGTTTAAGAAGAACATGTTTACCATAAAACACTTTAGTGCTGTAAATAATTTGACAATTAAATAGATGGATAGATAGAAAGATTTATAGATACTTTTAGATCTTAAAAGAATTTGTTTGTTTGCTATCAATACACAAAAATATTTTACTACAGCGCTTAAACAGCTGTTAAATTGACTTAACATTGTTATTTTACATAATATTTAGCAGGTATGGCGACAAAGGCATGGAAATCGTTGTGTAGAAAGCCCCAAGATAAGTTATATATGACAATGCATGCAAGCTGTATGAGTATTGTCTTAACAGAGATCCACTGTTCTTTAAAGAAACAGAAACTGATTAACATAGTAAGCTTCATTATTTTGTAATAGTGGAGTTCAGTTGATATCATTTTAATGATTTTTGTTATAAAAAGTTGCACACTCATATATGTTTAACACTCTTTTGAAGCATTGCACAAAAAATGTAGCTGTTTTGTTATTATGTAATGGATAATATTCTTTCTTCTATTTCTTGTTATTTGTTTTTCTACAATGCCCTTTTTTTCTAGTTTGGAGCATCCTTTTTGTTTGTGTATATGTCTGGTGAACAGAAGAGACTCTTACAGCGGTATGGACGCTTTGCATTTCTAGACGCAACATATAAAACATCCTTATATGATCTACCATTGTTTTTTCTGGCTGTAAGAACAAATTGAGGTTATCAAATTGCTGCAACATTTATTAAAGAAGGAGAAACAGTTGTTGCCATTACTGAAGCTCTCTAGATACTGCATGCTCATGAATGTCCTTGGGAACCAGCATATTTTATGACTGACTACCAAGAAAGTGAAATACTTGCAATATGGAACTTCAATTTCTTGTTATCTGTGTTCTATATGAAATGTGGTAATTGATAATTGTTAGTTTAGTTTATACTAATGTATTTTAGTTTGATTGTGTTGGAAGCTATATAAGCTTAATAAAACACTATTTCTTATATATATAACTCATGGTAGAATGCACCATTATAATTATTATCCAGTGATTCTAAGATATCACATCTTATCATGTCCTACATGGTTTGGGGCATTATATATTGTCAATGGATTACGACAGTGTAGTATTTGTGGGTTTCAGTCAGGTACCAGACCACCCATAGTACTTAAAGTTTCCAGTTTTGGGATGACGTTACTTCTATATCCATTCACTCTTTCCGTGGCAACGCTTAGGAAGAAGTAATGTGGAACCAACGAGTTTTCAAATTGAAGCTTTGGTTTGAATGTTGTAGTGACAGTCCAGTGTGCGGCAATCCAATGGATTCATTGAGATCGGATTCTTCTTGTGACAGACTTATCTTGTTTTCGGTGGCATGTAACTAATACACCTAGGTACCTTGGGGATACTGCAGCAATAGTAGCAGAGGTACTATCAGACGTCACTGATTCTTTTTCAAGTAAGGCCAGATTCTATATGAAAGTTTATCACTAAGTCAACAGACATGGATAAAACAATCACTATAGGGGTAAGTTTATATATTTAAAATCGTTGTTTACGATGTTTATTTCATGAAATATGAAGTTAACAAAGGGAGTAAAAAGAAAGAGGAACAGGAATCTATTATAAAATATGAAAGTTAAAATATGTTTTGAAAATGTATAATTTTGAAATTAAACTACATGAATAAATATATATTTGTCTCATTATTACCTGTTTATTTGAAGAACATGTATAAAATTTATATCATTAAATTTGTTATTGTTTTAAAAAGCATATTGCCAGTAAAGTAAAAGGCCTTTTAGAGATCTGAGTTAAAATCTCAGCTGGAATGTACTTTCACTGGCAAAATGCAGCTTTATTTTAAATGGACTAGAATAATGTCTATATTTTATGAGTTTAAGAAGAACATGTTTACCATAAAACAATTTAGTGCTGTAAATAATTTGACAATTTAATAGATGGATAGATAGAAAGATTTATAGATACTTTTAGATCTTAAAAGAATTTGTTTGTTTGCTATCAATACACAAAAATATTTTACTACAGCGCTTAAACAGCTGTTAAATTGACTTAACATCGTTATTTTACATAATATTTAGCAGGTATGGCGACAAAGGCATGGAAATCGTTGTGTAGAAAGCCTCAAGATAAGTTATATATGACAATGCATGCAAGCTGTATGAGTATTGTCTTAACAGAGATCCACTGTTCTTTAAAGAAACAGAAACTGATTAACATAGTAAGCTTCATTATTTTGTAATAGTGGAGTTCAGTTGATATCATTTTAATGATTTTTGTTATAAAAAGTTGCACACTCATATATGTTTAACACTCTTTTGAAGCATTGCACAAAAAATGTAGCTGTGTTATTATGTAATGGATAATATTCTTTCTTCTATTTCTTGTTATTTGTTTTTCTACAATGCCCTTTTTTTCTAGTTTGGAGCATCCTTTTTGTTTGTGTATATGTCTGGTGAACAGAAGAGACTCTTACAGCGGTATGGACGCTTTGCATTTCTAGATGCAACATATAAAACTTTCCTTATATGATCTACCATTGTTTTTTCTGGCTGTAAGAACAAGTTGAGGTTATCAAATTGCTGCAACATTTATTACAGAAGGAGAAACAGTTGTTGCCATTACTGAAGCTCTCTAGATACAGCATGCTCATGAATTTCCTTGGGAACCAGTGTATTTTATGACTGACTATCAAGAAAGTGAAATACTTGCAATATGAAACTTCAATTTCTTGTTACCTGTGTTCTATGTGAAATGTGGAAATTGATAATTGTTAGTTTAGTTTATACTAATTTATCTTAGTTTGATTGTGTAATAAGCTATAAGCTTAATGAAACACTTTTTCTTAAATATATAACTCATGGTAGAATGCACCATTATAATTATTATCCAGTGATTCTAAGATACCACATCTTACCATGTCCTACATGATTTTGGAACATTATATATTGTCAATGGATTATGATAGTGTAGTATTTGTGATTTCAGTCAGTTACCAGACCACCCATAGTACTTAAGGTTTCCAGTTTTGGGATGACGTTACTTCTATATCCATTCACTCTTTCAGTGGCAACGCTTAGGAAGTAGTAATGTGGAACCAAGGAGTTTTCAAATTGCAACTTTGGTTTGAATGTTGTAGTGACAGTCCAGTGTGCGGCAATCCAATGGATTCCTTGAGATCGGATTCTTCTTATGACAGACTTATCTTGTTTTCGGTGGCATGTAACTAATACACCTAGGTACCTTGGGGATACTGCAGCAATAGTAGCAGAGGTACTATCAGACGTCACTGATTCTTTTTCAAGTTAGGCCAGATTCTATATGAAAGTTTATCACTAAGTCAACAGACATGGATAAAACAATCACTATAGGGGTAAGTTTATATATTCAAAAAAGTTGTTTATGATGTTTATTTCATGAAATATGAAGTTAACAAAGGGAGTCAAAAGAAAGAGGAACAGGAATCTATTATAAAATATGAAAGTTAAAATATGTTTTGAAAATGTATAATTTTGAAATTAAACTATAAATATATATTTGTCTCATTATTACCTGTTTATTTGAAGAACATGTCTTAAGTATAAAATTTATATCATTAAATTTGTTATTGTTTTAAAAAGCATATTGCCAGTAAAGTAAAAGGCCTTTTAGAGATCTGAGTTAAAATCTCAGCAGGAATGTACTTTCACTGGCAAAATGCAGCTTTATTTTAAATGGACTAGAATAATGTCTATATTTTATGAGTTTAAGAAGAACATGATTACCATAAAACACTTTAGTGCTGTAAATAATTTGACAATTTAATAGATGGATGGATAGAAAGATTTATAGATACTTTTAGATCTTAAAAGAATTTGTTTGTTTGCTGTCAATACACAAAAATATTTTACTACAGCGCTTAAACAGCTGTTAAATTGACTTAACATCGTTATTTTACATAATATTTAGCAGGTATGGCGACAAAGGCATGGAAATCGTTGTGTAGAAAGCCTCAAGATAAGTTATATATGACAATGCATGCAAGCTGTATGAGTATTGTCTTAACAGAGATCCACTGTTCTTTAAAGAAACAGAAACTGATTAACATAGTAAGCTTCATTATTTTGTAATAGTGAAGTTCAGTTGATATCATTTTAATGATTTTTGTTATAAAAAGTTGCACACTCATATATGTTTAACACTCTTTTGAAGCATTGCACAAAAAATGTAGCTGTGTTATTATGTAATGGATAATATTCTTTCTTCTATTTCTTGTTATTTGTTTTTTTCTACAATGCCCTTTTTTCTAGTTTCGAGCATCTGTTTTGTTTGCTTATATGTCTGGTGAACAGAAGAGGCTCTTGCAGCGGTATGGACACTTTGCATTTCTAGATGCAACATATAAAACTTTCCTTTATGATCTTCCATTGTTTTTTCTGGCTGTAAGAACAAATTGTGGTTATCAAATTGTTGGTACATTTATAACTGAAGGAGAGACAGTTGTTGCCATTACTGAAGCTCTCTAGATACTGCATGCTCATGAATGTCCTTGGGAACCAGCATATTTTATGACTGACTACCAAGAAAGTGAAATACTTGCAATATGAAACTTCAATTTCTTGTTACCTGTGTTCTGTGTGAAATGTGGAAATTGATAATTGTTAGTTTAGTTTATACTAATTTATTTTAGTTTGATTGTGTTGGAAGCTATATAAGCTTAATAAAACACTATTTCTTAAATATATAACTCATGGTAGAATGCACCAT